CTGTGTGTCAGTTTGACTGTTCCGAAGACCACTTCATTAACGGAACAGAATATTTGTATAGAATGGCTTCCTACATATTGGTCATGCCAAGGCCATTTGTATTAACTTCGGCTTTGCCAAGTATCACGGGGGCAAGACCTACCTGAGAATGGACGACACGAATCCTGAAGCTGAGGATGAGAAATATTTCGTTGCCATTGAGGGTGCGTTTGCCTACCTATGTCATCATCTGGTTCGCTCATCTCGTGCTCGTGTGTATGAGCGGGTTCAACACCTTAAATGTAATATGACTGACCTCACTGATATCCTTAGAAATGGTTCGCTGGTTGGGATTCACCCCTCATAAGGTCACGTATTCCAGCGATAACTTCCAGAGGCTCTACGACTTGGCCGAAAAACTCATCGAGCTCGAGAAAGCATACGTATGCCATTGCAATGGTACGTGCCCTTAATGTATGACGTCAGGCGAGTCGTCCGCTCACATATCTCAATCCCCTAGACGAAGAGATCAAGACTCAGCGCGGTGGCGAGAATCATGGACCCAGATTTCGCTGTGAACACGCTGATCAGAGCGTTGAGACGAATTTGACCAAGTTCAGAGGCATGCGAGACGGTAAATACAGTCCCAGAGAGGCATTCCTGCGGATGAAGCAGGATATAAACGATGGTAATCCGTGAGTCGCGTCGTAACTCTTAGAGGAGCATTGGAAATCGAAATACTGACCTGTGCGTGTTGTTAAAGTCAAATGTGGGACCTCGCCGCATGTATTGCCAAAGCCCGAATCCTGACCTTGTGATGTTCCCCTCGCTAATAATTTGCTGCACAGACAGAGTTCTGGACAAGCCTCACCACCGCACAGGCTCAAAATGGAGGATATACCCAACTTGTTAGTTCTCCACATTCCTCAATTGGCCCTATTTCGGCCCAGCTTAGCATTCGGCATCCCCGGCTTGGCGGTGCCTGTGCCTTGATGGCTTCTCATGCGGCTTCAGAGCTATGAGTGACTAATGGATTTGATTGTGACAGATGATTTTACACACTGCTTATGCGATAGCTTCGAGTCTATCACACACTCGTTGTGTACTACCGAGGTGGGCACTCGTTTCTCGGTATTGTCCTGTTGCGAGATATCTAACATAGACTCGAACAGTTCATTCAGAGCAGAGTCAGCTATGAGTGGCTTAATAAAACACGTGAGAGATGATCATCTAAGCTCTAGGTATTTTCAAAAAGTGCTGACCAACTCTTGATGAAGTCGGTGTTTACGAGCCCATGCAACGTGAATATGGTCGACTGGTGAGTATAGCACTTTGTGACACCTATTCCCCATTCACTCTGTTCTGACCAGCTTTACAGAGTATTACTGGTACTGTGCTGTCTAAAAGAAAAATCATGAAGTTGGTGGATGAGAAGATCGTGAGAGGATGGGACGACCCGAGATTATTCACCCTAATCGCGTAAGTGACGCCAATTCTCTCGAAGACGATGTGCTTGTCGGCATCGCTGACCTTCGATGGTACAGCATTAAACGACGAGGTGTGCCGCCAGGAGCCATTGTAGAATTCGTTTCCGAGCTTGGAGTTACAACTGCACCTGGTGTTATTCAGATTGCCAGATTCGAGCAGACCATTCGACGATATTTGGAACGTACAGTACCAAGATTGATGCTCGTCCTTGACCCTATCCCGGTCGTTATAGAAGATGCAGAAGAATCAGAGGTCGAGGTGCCTTTCTCTCCTAAAAACCCGGCAATGGGATCTCACAAGCTTAAATTTACACCCACCGTCTATATCGACCGCTCAGATTTCCGTGAAGTAAGTTGCATTCATTGCTTAGATTTTCTGCGCGACTTGCCAATTTCTGCGGCAAGATTTCTGAACCTCAAACTTGACACACAATGACAAGTCATTAATGCCTGATTAGGTCGACAGTAAAGATTATTTTCGGCTTGCACCTAATAAGACGGTTGGCTTGCTCCAGGCGCCTTATCCAATCAAGGCTGTCTCTTTTACCAAGGACGAGGCTACGGGACACGTCACCGAGATCCGTGCCGTATATGACAAGGAGACGAAGAAACCGAAGACGTTCATCCAGTGGGTACCCTCTGGCTCACGCGAGGTCGAAGTGCGGATTCATAACTCGCTGTTCAAATCGGAAAAGCCCGATGATACGGAAGGTGGTTTCTTGAACGACCTCAATCCAGAGAGCGAAATTGTTCACCCGAAGGCCATGATTGAGGCTGGATTTGATGAGGTGAAGGCGAGGGCCCCATGGCCTGAAGCCGCAGGTGAGAGCGAGCTGGGCAGAGGAGGACTCGAGAGCGTGCGTTTCCAGGCGATGAGGGTTGCCTATTTCGTGAGTGTCCATTCATATCAACTCTTGACAACTTCAGGCGCTGTACTAACTTGTTCGTGGCAGGCTGTTGATTCCGTTGATAGTAGTGATTCCAAAATCGTTCTAAACCGGATCGTTTCTTTGAAGGAAGATGCTGGGAAAAGTTGAAGTACTTATGAATAACCAGTTCACCTATGTGGATTTTGTTTGATCTTGGGCGTGTCAGAATTGCTACAGTCAAGTTTGTTTCTTAGCAAATACCCAGCGACATGATCTGAACATTGAGAGAAGATTTATTGTGATACCGTGTCGCCCAGGTCAAAGAAAAGACGGTGAGTTGAAAGGGAGTCATGTTGACTCGTCGTTGATATGTGCATTGCGCATTTAAGCTTGGCAGGTGATACCTTTATGCCACATAGTAAAGGCCTATGTCCCTAGAATTGACATGAATTAGCAATGGTGGTTTGTTTTTTATCCATGCTATTTGAAAATAATGGTTCTTCCTGTGTTTCTCCGAGTTACCCATCTTCATGGGGCTCTAATTTAGCAAGGACACTGATAATACTTTGTGCCAATGTTCAATTCACATTCAGTTTGTAAGTAGCTGGTCAATTCAGAGACGGCAAACAACGACATTAACCCGATTCAAATACACATGTGCTTGCCCGAGGTCTCCTCCCAAGCAGCATTTGAGTCGTTGGCCAGAGGATATGGACATTGAGAGATGCACTTCCTGACTCAAGACATGCTGGATCCGGTTGATGAAAAGTAATGTAATTGAAAGCGCCAGTCATCTCGAAGAATATTATCTCATTAATTACTCCAATTCAATTTGAACGTGGAGTATCATGGTGTGCTCCCAGTCAGAAAACAAACTCCGCCGGACTGTCCACCAAACATGCCAAAGCTGATCACCGAGTCTCAGATGTCTTTCGGTCAGACTCGTACCAGGTCAATTGAAATTTGACACGAATAAAGGATTGCTAGATTGTAGGAAAGAATATGCTTTACAGCTCGGGATGCGACTCATCTGCAAGGTTTGCTCTGCTACCCGTTGTTCAATGATCGCGAACACTCGTCACAGCTTCAACTTTCTTTCTGCACGTTAACAAATACTATGTAGCTCATAACCTGCTGAAGCAAAGGCTTATTATGAGCCGGCACCCCTCTTGGTCTTTGAAATCTGATTTTAGAATATGCATTTATGCTGAAGACACATTCAATACGGTCTTGGTACCTTCTTAGCGGAGCGATTGTGCTGGGAGGTCGCCTCGTGGCTAGATGTATAGAGCGTAATACCATCGGTTCTAGCGAACGCCGGTTATTCAAATCCCAGCCATCCCACGTGGCACTTGTTGCGGAATTCGATACATATTTCAGTTATCAGGTCGTCCCAGACGACGGGACCGTCCAAACCAGACGAGACCTGGTACGAAACACCAAGCCATAGCAGGGGTCATTCCACACTAATGCCACCAGACAGCCGGCTCTTTCGATACCTACTATTGCCAAAGCACAGGGTTTCAAAGAGAAGCTGTTGCGGTGATACCGACTCCCCCCATCTTCTTCTTCATAAATCTGATGTGGCTAGAAATGGTCTGCAGGAACGTTTGGCTCACCACGGACGGCGCAACGAAGTAGTGACGAAACCGCCATCCGAGATAGGCCATCTGTCGAGTTTGCAATGCTTTCCCAGTCAAGCCATGGATCAAGATCCCCTGCCGCGAATACCCCCACCCCCAAGACATTGCACAGATACAAAAAATGAGGGAACCAAGCGTGGCAGTGGCAAGGCCGTCAAAGTAGAAGCCATAACATCCCCTTGGCAAACGCAGCCACCACATGCCAATGCGTGGCGTCGATGCCAGCACTCACGGTAGAAGACCTAATACAACACGCCGGGACAAATCACGCTGCTTCCCCAGTCGTTAGGCAGCAGTGATAAGCAACCCAATAAAGACCTAGCAGAGTGCCAGGATGTGGAGAACGGCAAATCACGCCCTTATTATTATTAGAGTACCTAGCAGAGTAGCAGACAAAGAATCTAGATCCGGTGGGATGCCATCGATGGAAACACTGGCAATGTCCCAGTAAAGAACGTATGCTTTCCCACAAGCAATTGCGAATTACATCAGGCCATAGAGTAAGGGACACACATCTGAGAATCAATCCGACCCGACACTTGGTTCGGGAGATCATATACGAAATATTTATGTGATTAGACAGACGGACGTATGAAAAATCCCGGCAGTTATGAAGAAAAGACACATATGTACAACACGGTATTTCAGCAAGGTAGGTAGATGCAGATATCCAGAAGGAAGACAGAAAGAGAAGCGTTGGTTTAAGTGAGCGTGAGTGCAAAGTTTCGTCGTGAGTGTAAGGCTAGGTACCTACCTTACTTCGTTAGGTACTTTGTACTGTACGAACTTGTAACCCGATTACCCACTGTATCGGATATTTGCGTATGCATTCGACTAAACTAACCTAGTAACTAACCTAGTACGGATTACTGCTCGGCCACCAACGTCCTCGGCCGCCCTACCTTATTTTATAGGGCAGTCGACGCTCCGATACACCCTTATTGGTATCTTGCAGCGAACAGGAGTGGCCGAGCAGAGCTGTGGGGAGGATTTATAAATCTTTCGGAAAAACAAATTACCAACTCCTGATGGCACAGTTGGTAGCGCGTTGGACTGTAATTGAAATTGCTTAGAGATCCACAGGTCGTGTGTTCGAGTCACACTCAGGAGAAACTTGTCTTTTTTTTTTCTCTTCCCTTCCTGCTTTTGACTTTTTCTCTCGTCTCTTTTTGCGGTCAACATTATTGCCGAGACTGACCGATTTCTATCAATTGATTGATGTAGATGGTTTATTTGGTACGAAGTACTTATACCTGTCCGCCTATCCCTTGAAGCAATTATGTAAAAAAAGGACGCGCTGCTTCAAAGACTCCCTTTTCGATATGCTTCTACATGGATTGCCGTCTCCCTCAGATATTTGCTTCGCATACACAACATGTTTTTTTTCCCCACGCTCACTTGACGAGCGTGGGATATCACAGGGCACATCAAGCAAACATTACCATCACGATGATGATTGGGCGAAGTCAATCTACCGAGTCGGGGGCAAGGGACGCATTTCGACGGCCCCAATCGATGATGAACATGATGATTGGCTGGGCTCACCGTGTCCGTAGCCACCAAGGCCTGCTGCCCGTCGCCTCGGTGCAGCGTCTGTCTTATGAGAGGTCTTTTCAATTGGGCCGCAAAAGCTCTACGAAGCGAGGGACAGCATTTGAATCATCTGTTTGACGGACCGCTGAGAGTCTGAGACTGGCATTCCCTGCATGTGACTTGGTGTGTGGCCTCGTACAATACAATCTCATTGTCTCAACGCCGAGCCCTAAGGCTTCTTCTCCCTACTTCTCCCCCCGATCTCGTCCATTTGCTCGCTTACATTCGCCCTACATCTCTGGACCAAGCGATTCCTAGATCCACAAAGCACCGAGCAAAGCATACATAGAGAGCAGCTCCTGTCTAGCTGTATTGAACCTACGGAAATTCAAAACCCAAGCTCCCGGTACTGGTTTAACACCCAGTCGAGTCGTTGCCTTACTTGAGACATACATCCATTTCTCACTCTGCTGGACCCTCTTCCCAATGGCTAGGAAAACGATCCCACGCGAGCGGCTTCAGGCGCTGCAGAAGAGCTATGACCAGCTCTGCGTGTGGCTGAACTACGACAACAGCACCAAGCACGGCACTCGTCGTCTTCTGGACAGCAGCTATGTGAAGCCATTCTTTCGCGAGTACCGCCGAGACTATCTCGAGGTATCCCACAGCCGACCACCCGTGCAGTGTGCCGACCTTTATCACTGGTGTGTAACTGTGAATGCCTTTGCTCAGCCGCAGTATGCGAATGCCGATGTGGTGTCTAACAAGAGAGACTGGACACCATTAGAGTAAGTGAAGCCAGAGAATGTGGTTTGATTTCTATTATGCTGGCTTCCTTTTTTTTTCTTTCTTTCTTATTTTCTACTGTAAGAGCCGAGCAGAGACCCATCAGCTAATCAATTACCCGTCTTAACTCCTAGCCACGCAACGCGCTTCCTCGTGCGTGTCCTCCGCTTCAGCTGGCAGAACAACGGCGAGTGGAGCAGTGGCAACTTCGACCCTGAGCATGACGAGGACGGGGAGAATGATCTGGAAGTCTATCAAGTCTGGGCTATCCTGCAGTATTTGCAGGCTGAATGGGAGGCTGCTAACGTGGATGACTGGGAAGTGGATCGGTTAGCTTCGAGTAAGTGCTGCTTTTGTCAGGTTGTCATCGGAATCCTTGGAGGGCCCCTTAGTCTGACTGTGGCCAGTCTTTTCTGATAAGATGACCAGTCGACTCTAAAGGGCTGAAAAACTTGGTCGGAAGACCAGATGCTCCTATGGTTCACTGCAATAGCATTGCCATGGTGGAGTTACAGATATGGGAAGGAGACGAGAACCATGAACTGGACTTCCAACCTATCCTTTACGGGATTGTAGACAGAACATCCTAGGCACTGATGACGGGAACACTCTTCACAAAGGATCACGACCGGAACATTACGAGTACGAGGAACGATAAGAAAAAGTATGAGTCAGCCCAGCCGTAAGGCTATGAGTGAAGGGGCCGTAACGAGACATTGATCTAGTGACGAGCAGATGGCGGCACAGCTTCGAAATAGAAACTCAAAACATTGGCACGTGGAAATGAAAAAGACTCGAGTGATGATTATTGATTTATGACAGGAGAGATTTAAATATATTTGCAATCACCACGAATCGCCGCGAATCGCCGCGAATCACCTATGAACAAGCTTCGTGCGTGTTCGACCTTGGGTTCCAGGTTAACCGATAATACATGTTAATTACCGAGGGCCCTGACCTTTTCAAGGATTTTTATGTGTTAATATAATCCGTACCATTACCTACCACCAGCCTTTCCATCTATAATGCGTGATTAGCAGACACTCTTACTCCCACTATACGCATGAATGCTGACGTACAAAGCCAAACTCTACTTCAACACCACGCATACAGGGTCGTCGCCAATCGTTAGATTCTATCTACAATGGGTATCAAAGCGCCATGCACAAACACCACAAAAACATCTCGCGACCGCCTCCCGCAACACAAGAACAATCACTACGCATGCTCGTGTGCACTTCGATCACTGCTCTCCTCCTTCTTAACACCTGCCTCCACACAACCTTTCTGAGAATAATCACCGGGCCCCTTACTGCCATCAGGCACATGAAAGCGACGATCGACGCGCGCCAACGCAAAAAGACACAGCACCAGTATTTCGAGTGCGAAGTTGAAAACGTAAAAGGCGGGACGAGAATGGTACCAAGCAGGTCTATCCAGAGGCCGGGGTGTCTCCCATGCCGTACCGGTCCTGAAGCCTGCAATGAGCACGCACAAGCCTGTAGAGAATGCGTTGATGACCGCTTTTGTCCTCAAGCTGCCCTCGCCGAAGAGTTCTTCGTCCTCGGATTTCGGCAGCACATGTGCGGCGAGGAGGAGGCACAGAGGCAGGATCGTGAAGACGAGGAGATAGGTGATGGCAGCGAGCTGGATGTCGCGGGCGACGCGGAGCAGTGAGGGGCGTAGGGTGTAGGCTATTTGGATGATGGAGTAGATGACAAGGACCAGGGAGATTACGAGGCCGACGAAGAAGGCGCGGATGACGGTGTCGAAGGATTTGTGCCAGCCGATCGCGGGCTGTCGGGCGCGCAGCAGACGCCAGGCAAAGTTGAGGTTGACGACGTAGAGAAGGAGGACACCGGAGTTGACGAAGACATTGGCGGCGATGGCGAGGGGAACCTGATGCTGATGTTTGGCCCAGACGATACGCAGGATACAGGTGACAATGCGCGACATGCTGAAGCCGAATAGCACACCGGAAAAGAGGAATTTGTGGTGGCGGCGGAGGTTAAGCTGGAGAATGGTCATGTTTGTGACTGCGAAGCAGAAATATATGACTAAGAGGACGGCGGTGATGGGTACGTCCGGCACCAGCTCGGGGACACCACCAGGACTGGCATTAGGAGGGGCATAGGGCGGCCCGGACGGCTGCTGCGGGCCGGACATGAGTGAGGCAAGAAATCTACAGTAAAATAGAGCAAGGAGTTATTCAAGTGAGGATGGGTGATTGTTGTTGTTGTTGTTGTTATTGTTGTTGTTGGGGACTGATCCTTGGTGGACTGGCTAAACAATCGTCATAACAATCCCAAGAATAAAAGCCCATTTGCCACGATGACGGAGATGATCTGTATGTATGATAAGTCACGAAGACGAATAAGTTCGTTCTTTGAGAGATGAGCTCGATGCGAAGTGAAGAAAACAAAGCAAGAGCTCGGTACATGAGACCAAGTAAGTATCTTAAGAGTGGCAGTCGTAGACAACGAGCAACGAACTCACATCACGAGCACGGCCACTATTTATTTATTTATTTATTTATTGATTTTATATAATTTAATAATATCCACGTCACCTTTAGTATTCAGTCAGACCTGACCTCGGCCACAAAGACGTGCGTAATACGTGGAATTCGAGTCTTACACACATGAAGGAGCAGCTGAAACCAGGAAGAAAAAAAACAAAAAGCCGGCAACACAGTCCGAGTTCTACAAGTCGCCGGCGACATTGAGCAGCGATGCCGATATTTTTGTGCCACGAGGAAAATGGCTCCAGACCAGCTCGGATGAAAATCCGATCGATCCGATCCGTGCGCCGCAGAAATAAGTACCGGCTAACTAAAGGTGGGGTTTATTACCGACCCGTTACTAACCCGATATGGTAAGCAGACCGCCACACAGTGTGAACGTCGAAATAATAAGGGAATAATAAATACCTTAGGCTCCTGCTTAGGGGGAGTTTTGCGTCGCTGGAGCCATTGAGATCACCTGTAATACCTACCTAAGGTAACTACCTAGCGTGGCGTGGACACAGTCGTCCATACAGTGTGTATTACAGGCTACAGGACCTACCTAACCCTCCGTGACTCGTGGACGATGCAACGGGAACGCCCCCCTCCCCTCCTTGCCATCGGATAGGTATAATGTACCTAGGTACCTACCTACTATTATCAGAGGTAGGTACCGTAGGCACCTGTCAACCATGCTATGGGCGCCGATACTCGGGTAGTGCTCGGGTCCTCTCGGCGTATTCCGTACTCCTTAGGTACCTAACGTACTCCGACCTACTTCTACGTACTTCTACGTGCTTCTACTGGTTCTTCTACTTACCTAATCAAACAAACAACCAGGAGAATAACAGTGACACTCGCAGCAAAAAAAAAAAAAAGTCCTTTGCATCTATCATTAGCTCCTGCTCGGGATATATGCAGATCAAATTGTGAACCGGGAATTGCTTGTTACATATAATATCATCAGCCTATTATCCTATCTCACTGATCCATGGAGTCAGACGTGCGGCCTCTCGAATTTCCCGAATTCCCTCCCCGTCACACCACTTCATGCTATGTTATGTATAGCTATCGGATTAAGATTCTGAGACCACGAACCAGCATTACACGCGTACACCGACGGGTTTACGGACAACCCATTGATAAGTCGGATCGGAGGGACTTCATGGTTCACAACAGCTGCTCTGAGTACAAACTTTCATGATAGACACGACGCTGCTGTATGCTATTTGACCATCTCTTAGACACAAGACACCCACTTTACTTGACCACAGAACAATATGACAACA